AGAGAGAGAGAGAGAGCGAGAGAGAGAAAAATTTATCTTAGGAAAATGGCTTACAAACTTATAGAAGCCGGCAAGTCCAAAGTCCCTGGAGGAAACTTCAGGCTGGTGGCAGCCTTAGCTTCTGCAAGCACAGGGGGCCGAGCAAGTCAAGGCTGGCAGGCAGTACACTGGTTGTTGACTCCAACAAAAGATGAATCCAAGATCTCCAGGCCTAGCGGTGGGCTGCTCACTCACGGAAGTTTGTAGTCCACGCACCAGGGTTCCAATCCCTCAAAAAAGAATGTCTCTCTTCCCACGATGTCCCTGGATATCTTGGAAGCAGGCCACATCCCTAGGGAAACTCCCCTTGGGGCAGATTGGCCACTCAGAACACAGTCATCTGATCCCATCATGGGAACAGCCACACAGAACTGGGGTCCAGCCAAGTTGACACACAGCTCCCACTGGCACAATACCAATATTGATACCAATATATGTATATGTATATATATATATGTATATATATATATATATAGATAGATCTAGAGAGAGAGAAAAATGTATATATTCTATATTTGTATATATAAAATATAGAGAGAGAGAGAGAAAGAGAAAGACTGATAAAGTAAATGGAAAATATAAAATGTTAACAACAGGAGGATTTGGGTAAAGAGTATCAAGTATCAACTTTTCCTGCAGCCTTTTTGTATGTCTGAAATTATTCCAAACTTTAAAAAAAAAAAAAATATGCCTCACAAGGCTTGGGGATAAGGCAGACACATAGTGAATGAGAAAAGAGACTAAGAAAAAGAATGTAGTGCTGAACACTCAAGACAACGGATATAAAAGTTTGTATAGATGAGAGCATGGCCTGCAAGTCAAACGACTGAGTATGTGATCTGCAGAATCTGCCCCGGTGTAAAATGGGGAAGTAGTGGTATCAGAACCTGTCTCACTTCACAAGGAGGGATGATAATGTGAATCAAGATCAGCCAAGTCTGATTCCTGTGAGGTCAGGCATACCTCCAATCTCCAACCTTTTTATCAACTGTCAGCACCAGCCATCTCTCCTATAGCATTCTCTACTTCTCTTCTGGGTTTGATAATCCATTGCAATGGCCACACTGAACTCACAGACCATACTTATG